AAAAAAAAAGCAAAATGAGAGGAAATTATTTGAATCTCAGACCATCATAAGGCGGCTGTCCGGAGAAAGGGGGTTGAGCAGACGGGTGCTGGTGCTGCTGATGGTGGTGGTGAAAATCAGGTGGAGGAGGATTAAGTGTAGTTGAGGAAGCCGAGGGCTGACGCATTATCTGAGGCGGTGGTGGGCCGGGTGGAAGGTGCGGGCCGCGAGGGAAGTCATGCGGCTGCTGTTGGTGGTGGAATTGATGAGCATTTGGGTGTTGTTGCGGCGGCGGAGGTAATGGTGGTCCCAGCGGCGGTCGCTGAAGGTGCTGAGGATCTCCACCGTACATCAGTAGATCAATGAAAAAAGTGGAGGAGGAGGACGTTCCGCCAATCTGCTCGTTTAGGTTTTAATCGTTTGGGACTGAGCAGTTCGAAATTCGTAGTATTGACACGAAGATGACACTGAAGTAGTCATTTCGTTTTGCCAGATCAATGTTACAATTCTACCCCTCCGTAGTCGACCAATGTGTTCATTTTTTTGGTACAGGGACCTTTCGGTTTCCGGATCCATAGGGGAACCGACTAATCCGGAATCGAGCCGGGTAGGACCACAAGGGCGGCAAAGCTCTCCCTCAAGAGTTTTAACACTGCTGCATTCCCAGGGCTCGAACTCGAGACCACTGGTTAAGCTGGAAGAGACCCAAGCCATCTCATCTAAGCGCTGTTGGGTACCAATGTGTTCATTTTGGTGTGAAAAATGGATTACCGTGTGTGTTTGTATATAAAATATAAATATATCCGCTCAATAAATTTTTTTGTTAATGAATTATTTTTTTTAAAAAAAAAATGATATGATTAGTTATTAATGTAATTTTAGTTTTATATTAAAATAATATTTAAAATAAAATAATTAAAGTTGATTTGATGTAAAAGTAGGAGAGAGATAGTGTTAAGCGATGGCTAGTTAAAATTATGTGAGTTGATGAATAGTTAAAACCAAATTTGCCACTGCCTGAGATGGTCGTGGAGCGATCATGGGTGCCTTACCCTTTTCTACGGACTTCTTTCTACTTTTATCCTTATTGAGCCTATATGAAGAAGGTCCAGCCCGCTAGGTTGCTATCACTTGAGCATTCTGACGAAACAGGCTCTCTACTGACTGAAGTTCGCCATCAACTTCGGTAGAGATAACAACATCTTATTCATGTTGTAGTTCAGCCGAAATTGATCGAAACTCTTCGACAGGGATTGCAGCACTATATCGACTTGAGTTTCCCCATCAATAAAAGCTCCAAGAACCTTTATCTCGTTTAGTTGGGTCATGACTGTAAGGATATGATCCCTTACGGAAGTACCCTAACGCATGCGCGTGTTTATCAAAATTCTCAAAGCCTTCTGTCCGGCAGCACACAGTAGGTGGTCAAACATATCCTTGAGGTTTAGGAGTATGTCTGTTGTGGTGTCCATAGACTTGATGTCGTTGCTGAAGTACATTTGACATAAATGTCAAAATATAACACTTCGACATCTCATCGATCTTCTTCCACTTAGCATACTCTTCCTTCTCTTGGTCTGTTGCCCTCTGATCGGGCACATCCGGACAAGCCTCAATGTGCCCTTTAGCAATTAACAATATATCCAAGTTCCTTTTCCGATCAATGTAGTTAGGACCAATAAGTTTTTTTTTTTTGTTTGATTTCTTTTTTTTTTTT